CATTGATCCCTATGTGGATCCCCTTTCACATGTAGATGGGCATGTGGTTGGATTGTGCCCTAAATAACTAAAATGAGACATAAAAAAAATCTCAGAACCTGAGCAGAGTCATACTTTCTAAATCCAGTGGTTCAGAAATGTGTTTGCAATGCTTAATGTTATACTGCATTTTATACCAGTTGTGGGGGAACACAGTTGGAAGAGTCCTGTTGCTTAAGGGATTCCTCTAGGCATCTGGTTGGCCACTGTAGGAAACAGGATTACAGGCTTGCTTGGTCTGATCCAGTAGTTTGTGCTCTTTATGTTCTTTAAATGTTCGCTGCTGTGTTGTAATAAGCAAAAGCAACCAATGTCACCAGAGAAAAAATATTATGCAGCATCCGCCATCTCCCATACACACACTTCTGTACACGGGATTTGCCCTTTCCCTTTCTTTGCAAAATGTCCACTTTCCCTTCAGCTGTACACAGCTTACCCTTTCCTAAAACTATGTTTAAAAATCTTGTACAGTGGTACCTCGGGTTACATACGCTTCAGGTTACATATGCTTCAGGTTACAGACTCCGCTAACCCAGAAATAATACCTTGGGGTAAGAACTTTGCTTCAGGATGAGAACAGAAATTGTGCGGCAGCAGCAGGAGGCCCCATTAGCTAAAGTGGTGCTTCAGGTTAAGAACAGTTTCAGGTTAAGAATGGACCTCCGGAACGAATTAAGTACGTAACCAGAGGTACCACTGTATATTGCATACAATTATGAACAGATGATCACAGATGATTGAAGGAACCAACTTATCAAATTCACCAACTTGTGCATGCATATTAGGCATCATAAATAATTACAATGATAATGGAAGGAGCAGTGGCAATCAGATTTTTTAAGGGGTGTGTGTGTCAGAGAGAAACAAAGAGTGCAACCCTCCCTGGAATGCATATTATGAAATGGTTTTGATAACCAACTTTAATCATTGCTGTATCAGTATGCCAAATTAATTGTCTGAGAATGACTCTTCCCTTTTACATTGCTAAATTGTAGTTCATCTCCTCAAAGTACAAGTGTCTGACAAATAAACTCCCCCTTTGTTGTTGTTTAGTTGTTTAGTCATGTCCCACTCTTTGTGACCCCATGGACCAGAGCACGCCAGGCACTCCTGTCTTCCACTACTCCCGCAGTTTGGTCAAACTCATGTTGGTAGCTTCAAGAACACTGTCCAACCATCTCGTCTTCTGTTGTCCCCTTCTCCTTGTGCCTTCCATCTTTCCCAACATCAGGGTCTTTTCCAGGGAGCCTTCTCTTCTCATGAGGTGGCCAAAGTATTGGAGCCTCAGCTTCAGGATCTGTCCTTCCAGTGAGCACTCAGGGCTGATTTCCTTAAGAATGGATAGGTTTGTTCTTCTTGCAGTCCATGGGACTCTCAAGAGTCTCCTCCAGCACCATAATTCAAAAGCATCAATTCTTCGGCAATCAGCCTTCTTTATGGTCCAGCTCTCACTTCCATACATCACTACTGGGAAAACCATAGCTTTAACTATGGTTGCCGACCTTTGTCAGCAAGGTGATGTCTCTGCTTTTTAAGATGCTGTCTAGGTTTGTCATGACAAACTCCCCCTTAGGTTCCCTAATATTTCACCTTAGCCAGCTGCTTCTCCCTCTCTCCTTTTTAAAGCATAAAAAGCATTGAATACTCTTCTTTACTTCTTTAACACCAAGCAGGAATAACAAACGTTAGGAATGACCCCTACAAAACAAAGAAAAAGCACTTGATTTTTCTTTCTTCCTTTCAGATTTTGGCTCAGCCAACCACAAGTAATTTATATGAAGACATTCAATATGGCATAACCTAAGTATTTTGCAAAAGGTGGTGCTGATCTAGCAAAAGTTACATAATTAAATTAGGGTGAGATTTGTACCGTCGAATAGTGAAAATCCCTCACAGGTTCATTGATTTGGAAAATTAGCGAATCCTCTTCAATAGGCACTTAAGGACATTGCCTCTTATTTAGTTGTGCTTAAAAAGATAAAAAGAAAAAGCCTGTGATTCTGTTTTATGAATATGATGCTCAGATAGATTACTTAACCCATTAAATATTGTGAGAACATTTGGAAGGGGTGATAAAAAAGGACTCGTTTGCATTGCAGCAGTTTTAAGGAAACGCCCATATACAATCTACAGTTAGACACAGGGGAAACAAAAGGGCGAGAAAGGAGGTGAAGGGGTAAGCAAGGAAAGAAGGCTGTTTCAGTCACATGTTCTTAGGCCTGGGCATGGTCACAACCCAGCGCTGCATACTATGACTGCAGCCCTGGTGGTTCTGTGCACATGATGCAGGTTGGCTTGTTAAGGCAGCCTTGGGGAACCTGTGGCTTCCTCATGCTGCCCTCTGGATACTCCAGGTCCACTCTTGTTCTCCAGGCCTCCCTCTGAGGAGAGACAGAGATGTGGCTGCTACAATGTGGTGTAGTGGTTAAGAGCAGTGGACTCGTACTCTGGTGAACCGGGTTTGATTCCCTGCTCCTCCACATACAGTTGCTGGGTGACCTTGGGCTAGTCACACTTCTTTGAAGTCTCTCAGCCCCACTCACCTCACAGAGTGTTTGTTGTGGGGGAGGAAAGGAAAGGAGGTTATTAGCTGCTTTGAGACTCCGTAGGGTAGTGATAAAGCAGGATATCAAATCCAAACTCTTCTTCTTCATCCCAGGGGAAAGCCTTGCTGTGGACTGTGGGGTGGCGGAGAGAAGTAGCGTCCAAGGGATGGAAATGGGTGGAGCAATGGAAGGAGGGGGGAAAGCCCCCTGCAAGCAATCAGGACTGACCTGTATTAATGGTGGTGGACAAGTGGGGCAGAATTGATGGAGGGGGGGGAAGGCACCAACAGATGGAGATGGGCTGGTGTGATGCTGTCAGCTCCACCTACCTTTGGCTCTGGCTCCACCCATGTTTGTTTCTGGATCTACCCAGCCCCAACAGTTTACCCCTGAGGAAATGTAGCTTTAAATAGGAAAAAAAGAGTTCCCTGTCCCTGCATTAAAGATCTGCGCAGTCCTCTCTTGCTGCTCCACCTGAGCACTTAGCCTCAGCTTTTTTCAGGTTATGCTCAGTTATGGCCCAAGCAGTCACTTCAAGAAGAAGGCCTCTGTGGCTCACATTCGGCAAGCAGCTCCTCCTTAGCACCTTAATATGACTTTGTGCTTCTTCCACTGAGAGTAGCCTGAGTGTTGGGACCCTGAGAAGGAGGTACGGTACTTGGGCTATGACCTGAAGGCCTGTGGTTCTCATTGAAACTAAGCAGGCTTGAGAATCCCATGTGCGCCTCCTTGCGATATATGGAAGAAAGGTGGGATTTAAGTGTGATAAATAAATAAATCAAGTGCAAGGTGGAGGAACTTTCCTTGAAATGAACATCTGGGCTTTGTGGAGAGCCACTCGTGTTCGGGTGCCAAGGTATATGGTGAGAGAAAGGTGAGCTATACTAGCTTTTAATAAAATTACTCTGCACCCTGCGTTCTGTGCCCAGGACAGTCAGGATTGCAGCCAAGGTATTTCCAAAGAGCCAGGCAGTTATTTTATTTAGACTGCAATTCTTTAGGAGCCCCAGTCAGATTTATTTTTGAGCAGGTTGCGCTGTTAAACTTCACAGAAGCCTGCTCTCCAATGTGTGCTAGAAAATGATGAGTTATGATGATCAATGCCCAACAAATATTATGATTTGCAGCCCTCCCTGGATTAAAACCTATTTATTCTCCATGAATTAAAGGGAGCCGGCATGCCAAGCATTTTTGGTGTGCTCTGTTATCTGTTGAATTAATGGCTGCTGTGTTTCTGGGCATACGGGCAAGGCTGACTGTGTGCAGGCCACACTTTCAACCATTTGTTCACCAAATAAGCTGACATTTATATCTTGTTAATTGGCTCATTATTTCCTTTTCTATTTCTTACCATTTTTCTCTCCCTGGTGTCACAGAAGTTAAGGACACACAATACCTGTCTCAGGTATTTGGTCATAATTAGCAAAAGAGTTGGTCACTGCATGTGGCGAACAGGATCACAACCACCTGATGAATCTTATCAAATGAGTTCATTTAATGGAAGAATATAATTAACAATCAAAGCAATTTATAGTGTGCATCAATGAGAGAATTTCTGAGCTGAGGGTTTACGGATGATTTGAATTTTCTCTCTATCTCTCTCTCTATTTATATATATGAGTCTGCAAATTGTCTTCTAACTGGGGATGTTAGAGAATTCTGTCATAAATGGAAATAGGAGTCGAAATCGCCACAATTTTCATGTCAAGAATGAAACGCACACAAGTGCATATGAGCAGTAATTACTATTGCTGGTTTTTTGGTCAATAATATGTAAATAATCATGCAATTTTCTGCTTTGTTTTTGACATTACTGGAGGTTGTACACAGCCATCATGACCAGTAGCCATTGATAGCTTTAGTCTCAATGAACTTCTTTAGCCTACGTTCAAAGCCACCCAAGTTGCAATGCAAGTTTGACAATGCACTAGGTGAAGAAGTACCTCCTTTTGCCTATACTGGGTATTCCAGTATTCAGCTCTATATAAAAAAATCCAAATAAAAAAGTAGGGCAATCAAAAGGTAGCAAAATGGTGGCAAATTTTCAGGTTCTTCTGAAATCTTCAGTCTGACAGGATTCTGAAGAACTAAAAAGCTTGCTCACTCTTTTTAGTTGTAATAAAAGCATTGTCCTAGTGTATATTCTGGGTTGTTGATGTTTTGTCTCGTTTTGTTTTTGCAGGGAAGGGGTCTTTAGATAAATGCAGGTTCAGGGTGCTGCTTACCTGATTACAGAAACTGTGCTGCACCTTCTTAAGTCTGTATTTCACACACACACAAAATCAGGATATTCGTCATGACTCTCCTGGAGTTATATGTATTTAGTTTTTTAGACTCTTCCAAAGCGTTTACTGAATCTAAAAAGTAAAGGACATTTACCTGAATGTTAAGCCTTCCTTTCCTTTTCTATTGCAGTTATACAAGCAGAGTGGTTACCAATGGGATGAAGGCACAAATTAATAACCCAGAATTGAAAGTCAGAGGAATGGACCCACACGTCAGCAACTTAATTGCTAAACTGCAACAATTTAATCAGGTAAGTACTCAAGTTTCACATTCAACCTAAAAGGAAATATGGAATTGAAACACAAATTTGTAGTAATTATATGAAGCTTGAACATATTGACAAACCAGGATTCTGCAAAGAATTAAATATGTCCTGGTGTATGTCAGCTGACCAGGGAAGGCTGCATCCAGCCATGGCAAATTCCCACAGTTGCTTATGACTCATAATTCCAGTAGTTTTGCATTTATCACTCTCTATCTTCTGAGTAGGTTTCTATAAAATTGCACTAAGTTTATAAAGGCTCATTGCCCTAAAAAAACCCTGAAATACCTTGCATGAACTACAGCGGGGCCACATTGGAACCTGTGGCACTACAAGTAGCCAGTAAAGTTTTGCTGAAAGTGATTCTTAATTTTCCCAATCCAGAAGAAAAAGATGGTCTGCCAGTAGGTATGCCAAAAACATGATGAATGGGTGCCTGCTTAAGTGATTCACTTGAGCTCTGTGGGTTATGCATGGCTGTCTACACAGAACTTCAGCTAGTCAGTGCTGAATATATTATGGCTACATAATACTCTTCCTTCAATCCACTGCTTTGCACGTCGCATAGATGATGTCAATCCAAATTAGCCAGAGCTACCTACCACATTTAACAGCAATCGATTTTCATTTAATGTAAGCATATTTTCTTGTCCAATTTGAGGAAACGTGGATAATGGCATCTGCAGAGTTTGTAATGACAGAGTAGCATCTCCTCCCTAATCACTCACCATTAGAGAATAGGTATAACTTTTGACAACTGCTACTGGCTGTAATATTGATTGCGCTGATTAGTGTGGAAAGGAATAGTGTATATCATGCAAAACCATGGCTCAAATTAGCTACTTTTTCTTCCAGTTGTGAGATGTAAGACAGGGTCATCTAGGAGTTCTTCATGATGACAAAGAACAACATGATTAATTTTGTATGGCCAGGGGAGTGTGGGCAAAGCACCAACAACCACCTCACGCCACACAGTAAACCTTTTAAAAAAATAATAATAATGAGTGGAGTTTCCAAGATTGCTTGTAGGGACCTGTCATACAAGTGGGAAAACGTCAGACATCCCATTGGGTCCAAGCCATTGAGTGACCCTTGTGTAACTCTTTGGATTTCGTCTCTTCAGCACTAGTATACTAAAAACTGCACCTTCTCTTCGCAAAACAAAAATTCCACAAATGACATGACATCCTGTGCAATGTATCATGGCTGCCAAGACTTGTTACCTCCTTGTAAGGGGAGATTCTTTCTGTGACTTTCTGTTGACCTTTAAGAGAAAATGATCCTTAAGTGAAGTCCTGCCCCCCAACAGATGGAGATTTGTAGTGGGTAATTGACTGCGTGGATTAAACAGAATGCTTATTATTGCCTTAAGATGATTTGTTGTTAAGTAATATAAATTACTTTGATCATAATTTTAGTGAGATTTCTTCAGAGATCAAAGCATCAAAGAAGTTGTTAAATTTCTCTTTAACGCTTTCAGCATAACATCAAACATGTGTTGCCGTTTTCTTAGGGTGTTTATCTAAGACTGGATTAATTTATGAATAAAAAGCTAACACTCAGAAGATGATTATGGCTGCAACCCTTATACACATTTACCTGGGAAGGAAGCCCCATTAAACACTTGACATATACTGGCATATACCCCCGGTTTTTGAAGATAGTTCAACAGTTTTGGAAGAACAATATATTCCCCTTTCTTGTGGTTAATGGTTGGATGTGGCATTGGTGTAGCATAGCATGCTAAGAGATTCAGGTACAAACCCTGAAGTCTGTGGTTCAAATCTCACTTCTGCCATGAACTCACTAGCTGGATTAAAGTGAGCTGCATTCTCTGTCTCTCTGCCTCAGTCCCCACCCCCATCTGCAGAATGAGAGATAATACTGACTTAACTTTAAAGGTAAAGGTACCCCTGCCCGTACGGGCCAGTCTTGCCAGACTCTAGGGTTGTGCGCTCATCTCACTCTATAGGCCAGGAGCCAGCGCTGTCCGCAGACACTTCCGGGTCACGTGGCCAGCGTGACAAGCTGCATCTGGCGAGCCAGTGCAGCATACGGAATGCCGTTTACCTTCCCGCTGGTAAGCGGTCCCTATTTATCTACTTGCACCCGGGGGTGCTTTCGAACTGCTAGGTTGGCAGGCGCTGGGACCGAGCAATGGGAGCGCACCCCGCCGCGGGGATTCGAACCGCTGACCATGCGATCAGCAAGTCCTAGGCGCTGGGTTTTACCCACAGCGCCACCCACATCCCTGACATAACTTTACAGGGCTATAATTAGAAAATCCATGTGAAGCACTTTGAACACGTGAAGGCTGCATTTTATTGGCCTTCATCCAGCCCATTGTTACCTCTAGGCACTGAATTCAGGAATCACCCATACCTCCTGCTCTCTTTCTCTAGAATAGCCCATGAAATTGAACCTGTTTTGTTATTTACAGTAAGATGGCATAATTGGGGGCCCTATATTTAAAGATTTAATTTGACCAGAGGTTTTCCTACCTAAATCACCCCATCACCTTCAACAATCACTTCTCCAAGAACTGTGGAGGACCCTTGAGGAACAATTACTTCTGCAAGGCATGGGCCATTACAGACCACTAAAACAAGGCTATATGAAAGCAGTGCAAGGTAAATAAGTCATGTTCGTGCCAGTCCCTGTCAGAAGTGTGCTTTGCCACACGCAAAGCAGTTGCCTTTGTTTCATGACTTGAAGAAGTTTGCATTCAGGATTGCGCTTTCGTTAACCCCCACAAGTGACACAGCCATTTCCACGGCCGCTGGAAAGAATAATGTCTGATTGATCACTGTGTCCAGCTAAACCAGTATGTGGCATTTCCAATTACATCAGCAGTTTAGCAGAGTAAGTTCCTCTCTTACCAATTAGGCAGAAAAGATTCCTCCTCTTACTTTATTCCTGGGTGCATTTTAATTAGATCTGTAGGCAGTCTCTCTCCTAACGTGCCCTGCAGGCTTCAGTGCCATCAGTCCTGAGATCGCTTTGGTTCTTGTTATGATCATGTGCTGCTTCAACTGAAGTGACTCATTTAAAAAATCTTCAGAGACCAAGCTTACATTTGGGTTTCCCTGCATCTTGTTTTATTATATTTTGGTTCCTTAAGAATGAAGTATAAACTATACTGGAGAAATCACGCCAAGCTGTGTGTGTATATTCTGAGCCAGTTTATTTTAATTTAGAATAAATAACACAGCCATTCTCACTTTCAGTCGTGCCTTCTAAGATAGTCATGTGTTCCTAGACCACCATTGCATTCCCTAGCTAGGCAGCCTGGGGTTCATTTTACTAAGGTTTAGAATACAGGAGAACTTGAATATGGAGGAAGGATGCTTGAGGAATTTGAACATGGCAAATTCCAATGTGAAGTCACCTGATCCCTCCCTCTCAAACTAATGTGTGGGCCAAAATGTCAATATTATTCAGATTTTGCAATTTTCTACATATTACAGTGCAGTTCTCAACTAAAAAAAAAGGTGAAAATGCATTGTTTCACAATATATTGAGAAATGTTTACTTCACTGTACTTTTTTTGGAAGAAAATTAATTTATAGATCCTATTTGTGAGAAAATGCATTAAAATGCTTATTTGAATATGAATTTTCATGCAGATTTTTTAAAAGGCAGATTAGCGTGGAAGTGGGATAGAGTGGCATGTGTTACAAATGAACGTGTGAAATTGACACAGCAGAAATAGACTGCTGTGGGGAAGCAATGTGTAGAAAGAAAATGCCCATAAAACCCTGTTTTTTATTATAAAAAAAGACAGCTGCCTTCCCCAGCGCTTCTAATATTGGATAGCTTTAGCATACTCAGGAATCAAAAGTTTTGTGTCTCTTTTGTAGGAAATGTATACTTTTTTGTGCATTCTGCATTCTTCCCTAGTGTGAAGATAAGTCCAAAGTCTGGGATAGGAACCTGTGAGCGTCCAGATGTTGTTGGAGTCCCCCTCCCATCAGCCTAATATAGCAAGACCAGCAGTCAGGGATGATAAGAGCTGGAGTCTAAGAACAAACCAAAGGTCCCAGGTCCTCCCTCCCTGTCATAGGAAGTTGTCCTGTTGGACTTCAGTTCAAAATACTGCTCCTTAAAGACAAAATACTGCTCCTTAAACAAAACTAGTTGTATACACATCATCAGTTGGTAGCAAGAAGCTAAAACTAAAGCTTTATTCTGTCCAACTAGATGTGTTTATCTGGATAATCTGACTGTTGTGAGGATTTGCCAGACACTGTCTTGAGTAGAACAGCTTTTGCTGTGACTTTCCTTTCAAGGCGGCCCCAGTTCACCTATCCAGGAGCCAAGACTGCTGCTGCTCAGTCAGTACAGGAAGAAGCAAGGCAGGGAGCAGCTGCTACCACCAGCCCAAGGCCTAATGAAGGGTTCAGAAGCAAAAAAATGAGAGGTGTGGAAAGGGGCTTCCTGGAGATAGAGGAGCAGAGAACACCTCTTGGCACTTCTACAGGACCTTCTCCCCCTATCTGTTGGGAGGCAGAGGGACTCCTAAGAAGTACCTATCTGGTTTTCCCAACTCTATTGGACTAGGATTTGGGAGGACCTGGCTATTGGGAGTGGCCCCAGGGTATCATAAGACCTGGATCTTTCACTCCTCAAGCTCTGAAGCCTTGGAAAAGAGGGCTGAAGGGATGCACCAACTGGGAAATTGTGGTTGTGCTGCCAGGAAAGAGCAGGTGGAGTTAGAGGTCTGATCCTGTATTTATACAGAAACTTCAATAAATCATGAGTAGCTACACTTTGCTTTTCTGGTCCATCTACCCCTGGAGATCACAGACCCTGAAGCCTTTAACCTGCCCCTTCTTCAATATGGTCCCACACCTATAATTTATCATATTGTCCTTTTACTATAAGCCTCCACTATTTCTTAGAAAATTGAAGCTATGTAGTTTAAAGTCATCTCGTCTTCAATCTCTATGTTAATTACTATGAAATGGGAAATAATTTGTGTGTCTGCC